AAACTATAAGCTTTGAAGGAAAAGGGCATTAATTTAATAAAAAGTTGCACTAACACACTTCTAACAAATCTCCTAAATGTTTTCAGAGAGTCTGTTTTCCTCCTATAAAATAATGGCATTCTCCACTGACCAAGTCTACCACAGGGCTTTTGTTAAAACTTGAAGAATCTTAATCCTTAGGAAAATACATATAAGAGTATTTTGAAACACAGTAGAAAAATGAAACTAAGAATATCACATTATCAGGGATTAACAGATGGTGTAATGGTTACATCACTGGACTCCCACATAGTCAACTACACTTCGAATCCCCAACCCAGTGGCTTAAAACTCACACCAGGTGCATGTGCATCCAAAATCCCAAGAAGAGAACACAGAAGGGACTGTGGTGTGGCCATCCCCCTGGGGGGTGATTTCTTGCTTTCTGTCTCTCTGTCTCTCCAGTGAGTGCACATGCCCTATAGCAAAAATATCTCTTTCTCTAAAAAAAAAGGACTTTCACATATCAGAAGTTACTAATGCTTCCATTGTGTCCTAATGCTCTTCTGTACAAACAAAAAAATGTTGCATGCATTTGAGAATTTTTATTTTTAGAGAGGTTTTTCTTTGTTTTGTTTGTTTGTTTGTTTTTTGTTTTTGTTTTTGTTTGCAATAGGGCGTGTGCGCTCGCCAGACAGACAGAGACAGAGAGACAGAAAGCAAGAAATCACCCCCCCCCCCCCAGGAGGGGTGCACAGCGCCCTCCATTCTCCTCTCGGGATCTTGGGCACGCACGCACATGCGCCCGGCGTGAGTTTAAGCCACCGGGTCCAGGACTCAAACCGCGGTCGACTACGTGGGAGTCCAGCGACATAGCCATTACGCTAACTGCTGGTCCCACATTTGAGAAATTGACAAAACATACTCTCATAATGCTATTAATGTTAAACAGAACTAAACTTTTTTTTAAACAGAGTTAGTTATTCCAAAGACCCTCTCAAAGATTATGAATGTATATCACCATTTGTACCCTCAAAGGCAGTTCAGAGATAACTAAAGAATACATTCATAGATTGAGGATAAAATTTACTTTCTGTGTTAATAAAAGGCCAAGAGACCTTTTTGTTTTCTCTTTTTACATTTAAGAAAATCATCAAGAAAACATTTTGAAACTCTACTCAAATATCCAGTACTTGGGGCTAGCAGGTGGTGTAGTGGTTAAGGTACTGAACTCCCACATGGCTGACCATGGTTCGAGTCACAGACTTGGTGGCTTAAAACTCACATCAGGCATGTGTGCCCAAGATCCCAAGAGGAGAAGAGAGGAGAAGGAATTGCAGTGTCGCCATTCTAGCTGGAGGGTGATGATTTTTCACTTTCTGTTTCTCTTTCTCTCTCTCCAGTGAGCACACATGCCCTATAGCAAAAATTTCTTAAAAAAAAAAAAAAAAAAAAAAGCATAAGACCTACCACTCAATTCGACCAGTCTTACTATCTGGTATTCATGTGAAATATGCTGGGTATTAAAAAAAAAAAAAAGTCCTATTGATGTTGTGGCACAATGGCAGTATTTCTAACCCGATAGACTAAGCTATTTTTTATTACCAAACGAGGAAAAAAAAAGGAGAGAGAGAGAAGAAAAACCCATCCTATGTGGGTTTTGTGAGGTGAGTAAACAAGTTCTCAATAATCATCATTTTTCCTTTTCCCTTCTAAAATAATCTTAAATGTAGACAAAAATTATAAGTACAGTACAAGGTTTTTTTCCAAAACCATATGCGAATAAGCTGCCAATACAACGCTCCATCATCATGAAATACTTTAGTGTGTGGGGCATTCTCCTATATATAATTAAAATATGACTTTCAAAACCAGGAAGTTATTATTGTTACATTAACACTATTTAATTTTCAGATCCTATTTCAGTTTTATCAACTGTCTTACAAATGGCCTTAATAGAAAAATTATCTAATTCAGAATTTCCATTAAACTTAGTTTTTGTTTCTTTGGGGTCCTTCAATCTGGAACAACTGTCAGTGCTGTCTTGCCTTTTTTGACCTTGACACTTTTTAATTTTGTAGACTGTATCTTTATTTGGGTTTACTGACATTTCTGTATGACCGGGAACAGGTACTGCCTCTTGCATGCTGTGTTCTTTATATCTCATGGCACCAGATTTCAATTTGTCCTACTGCTAATAATATTTAATTTGATCACTTAATGTGGTGCCTGCCTGCCTTCTCCCTGGCAAACTTATCATTTCCACTTAGTAATAAGTATTAGTTACATGCAGTAAATATCCTCTTCCTTATCAAATTTTCAATGAACTCATTTATTTTTCATTGGAATGAACTCATGGTATATTATTATATGCAACGTGTGTTGCTAATATTTATTTTGATACTCATTTTCTCAGATATCAACATTGGAAGTCTCTTGAAGGTTTTATATTTTTATGACCTATCACCACTGCTCCTTTAGCATTTCTTTACCATTGAGAACAGGGGTCCCCAACCCCCAGGCACAGACCAAAACTGGTTCTTGGTCTGTTAAGAACTGGGTCACACAACAGGAAGTGAGCAGTGGGCCAGCGAGTGAAGTTCCATCTGTATTTACAGCCACTCCCCATCACCTGCACTACCACCTGAGCTCTACCTCCTATCAGATCTGCAGCAGCATTAGATTCTTATAAGAGGTCCTAGACAGATTGTCAAGCTGCAGAAAAACAAGCTCAGTGCTCCCACTGATTCCACATTATGGTGTGTTATATAATTATTTTACTATATATTGTAATGTAATAATAGAAATAAAGTACAATAAATGTAATGCACTTGAATCATCTGGAAACCATATCCCTCCCCTCAGGTCCATGAAAAAAATTGTCTTCCACAAAAACTGGACACTGGTGCCAAAAGGACTGGGGACTGTTGACTTAGAACATCAAGATGTTCCAGATTTATCTTGTACTTTCTCAGCAGTCCTGGAATTAACCACTGTTCCCAAGATTCTGATTTCTTCTAGTGGAGGATATATAGAAACCAAAATTTGAGTCTTAGATGTGACCCAATCAGGCTTACCTGATATGTATTAAAGAGCCTTTCCCAGATTGTCTCAGTAGGCAGAGCCAAAGGGCATACATGCAAATTTATATCCACAAACCCACCCACCCACACACACACACACGTATTAATAAATTTTATATATACACACACAGTTACACCTCGATTTAAAAAAAATGCTCTGAGAAATGCATCATTAGGTAGTGTTGTCATCATGTGTACCTACACAGGCTATAGGATGTTCATGCAATCACTGTCATATGTATAGTCTGTCCCTGATGGAAATGTCATTATCTTGTGCATAACTGTGTGTACACACACATACAAACATATATACATATATATATGCATACACACACACACATATATATATATACCCACACACACATAAACACATGTTTTCACACTGATAGCTCCAGGTTCAATCCAACACAGAGTTTATTATAATTTCCACCATTTTCTCATCCGTAATTCCGTTCTGCCTGTGTCCCTGTGTCAGGTAAGTAATATATCTACGTATTTGATCATTCCCTTATGTATAACCAGTCTCCACAGCCAATACTGCACACTCTCCTTACCCCACTTAGTCTGCAAAACCCCACACTGGGACTACAACCCCCATGCATGGACATTCTCCCCCTACTCAGTCTCCATCTTCCCACATAGGGAACCTAATCTGTGAATGCCTCTTCCTCTCATTCTGGTTCTAACAACCTGTGCAGGGCCTTCCTTCTGTAGGGATGCATCCTCTCTGACTTCCTAAACCAGGTTGCCCTCTTCTGCAAATGCCCTCACCACAGGGGACTCCCACACACTTCATCAGGCCCCTCAAATACCGGCACCTGACATGAATTCTGTGTCCCTGTTCCACTGCCCTCCCGCCTCAAGACACCTATAAGGTATGATCTTGCCTACCAGCTTTAAGACTGAATTATTTGGAAGGAGAAATATTAAGCAGAAGGGGAACCATTTTCTTTATCTTTTTTTTTTTTTTTTGAGAAGTTTTTCACTATAGGGCGCGTGTGCCAGAAAGACAGAGACAGAGAGACAGAAAGCAAAAAAACACCCCCCCAGAGGGGAAGGCCATGCCGCATTCCCTTCTCCTCCATTCTCCTCTCGGGATCTTGGGCATGCACGCACACGCACCCGGCGTGAGTTTAAGCCACCGGGTCCGGGACGCGAACCGCGGTCGACTACGTGGGAGTCCAGCGACATAGCCATTACGCTAACTGCTGGTTCCCCATTTTCCTTATCTTTAAATAAAATATATAAATTTGCTAAATGGAATACATATATTTCTACTAATTGAAACTATTTTTAGATTTTCCAATCGGTCTCTAAGAATGGGCAAAATAAAGGACTTCTTATGACTTTATGTGAAAAATAAATAAAGTTCTTATCATATTGGGCATATTCTACTTCTCCTTTTCTATACATACCTATTTCTACTACTAAATCGCTATTGTTCAAATTTAGGTATCAGAGACCCCGGAATTTAGATATGAGAAGAAAATTATTTTGAGAAATTATTTTAAATAAATAAGTGTTAACTAAATTAAATGTATCTCTTTTTTAAATTAATTTATTTATTTGTAGAGGTTTTTGCTATAGGGCACATGTGCTGACACAGACAGAGAGACAGAAAGCAAGAAATCACCCCCCAGTGGGGATGGTCATGCTGCAATCTCTTCTCCTCCATTCTCGAATCTCTTAGGATCTTGGGCATGCACGCACACGCGCTGGCGTAAGTTTTAAACCACCGGGTCTGAGACACAAACCGCGGTCGACTACATGGGAGAATGCAACATAGCCATTACGCTAACTGCCGGTCCCCTAAATTAAATGTATCTTATATCTTAAAATGTAGGACATTTTAGAAAAATACTGTGAGCCAGTTAATAAAGAAGCAATACAGTTAGAATACAGACATATATACCTAAAAGATGTTCAGCTTGATCTTACCCTTGAGAAGATATTTTCTAGGGAGCTAGTTAAGGATCTTTTAGCTTTATTTTTCAGAATGTCAAGTTTAAATCTTCCACTGCTTGTTGCATTTTCTGGGATTGTACTATTCGAAATAGCCTAGAGAAAGAAAAAGATAAATGTCAGTTTGGAAAACCTCAAAGTTAAATAAGATTTTTAAAACAGACTTAAGACTAAGCCATTAAAAACACAAGAATTCTTTAGTGGCTCTATTAAGAAGTAATAATTTAGGTTCCACGCTGTGAACACAAAGATTAGAAGGGGAAAAGTTCAATTTTTAGCATCAGAAACAATAAAAACACAAAAATAAAATTTCTCTTCATGCCTTTCATTTCCACTAATACAATTCTGTTGCACCAAACAAAAATTAAACCTGAGTTGCCACATTTTACTGCTTTATTTTGATTAGCAACTACAACTATCCTTTCCTAAAATTCATATTTTATATGTAGATTATCAAGGAAAACACAGGACATAAATTTCAAAGAACAAAGCATCTTCCAAACAAAACTGGATCCGCTAATGTCTATTAGAAGCCCATTTGCATTTGTGAGTGGGTCATTTATCTTTCAGATCAACAAGTACTCACTAATAGTACTAAATTGTATGAGAATCTATACTGTGTCCACTATATTAGATTCTGTCTGTGCTTTAATCCCACTGAAGCAAGAAGCTACTGTGTATATACATGGCCTTTAGCGCCAGAAAACTTTTAAGAAAGAACACTTACAACTTTCCTGGGGAGGAATAACAACATGAAGCACATGTAGGTATCAAATATAAAACCATGAAGGTCTCCATGGACAGGAAGAAAAGAACGTGCAGAACTCGGAAAGAAAGGACAAAGACTTCCCCAGAACTGGGGATGTTTGTTGGTAAAATCATAAAGACTAGGTTTCTTAAGAGACAGAATCAGTACATGTCGTAGAGGGGCATGGTGGGAAGGAATACAAGAAAGTGAGACTGGGGAGAAAGCCTTGAACAGCCTTTAAGTACCTGGTCAATGGGAAAAATCATGCTTTGAATGTATAAGCAGATCGTGAAAGGACAGTTGTAGGGAGATTTATCTGAAAGGAGTGCTCAAAGAACACCTAAGGACAGGGACTCAGAGATAGAAAGACTCAATTAAACAGGCCATGCAAGAAGCAACAGAAGCCCATGTTAGTGCTGACCCCATCAGATCATTAAGGAAGTTACTGATGCAAGAAATATAACCCTCAGCAAGAAAAGGAAAAGACGACGAGGATATGGATGTAGACTCCATAAATCCCCAAATCCCAAATGGAGGCAGAGGTGGAGGAGAAGGGATTGTGCTGTGGCCATGCCCCATGCAGGGGATAGGAGTGGGAGTGCTTTCTTGCTTTTCTTCCTCTGTCTCTTTCTTCAGCAAGCCCTCTAGCATGTCCTTGGGCAAAATTAGAAACAAAACAAAACAAATTCCTCTTTTATGATCTTTGGTGCCTCCATCAAAAGAAAAGCACAGGGCTAGCTAGCCAGGTGGCAGGGTGATTAAGGTGCTGAACTGCCAACTGTGTGGTTTGAGTCCTGGACCTGGTGGCTTGGAAAAAATACTACATGTGCGTGGACAGCAAACACCACCACCACCAACAACAACAACTCCCCAAAAAATAAAAAGAAAAGAAAAGCACATCCCAAATACATCTTCCTTGAATTCAAACGTTATGCCAAAGCTCTCCCTTATTAATGCTATCAACTTAAATTACTCTATGGGTACCAAATCTGTTTTAATTGAATCTCAAACATTTCCAAGTAGAACTCACTTTTTATTCTCATCCCCTGACCCATCCCAGTCTTCTTTTTTGTACTTCCTAGCCTTGTTTGATCCAGTTTCCCTAAAGCTGAAACCAAGCAGTCATTCCTAGCAACGGCTTCCCCATCCTTTTACAGACCCTTCCAGTCACTAGGTCCTAATAATCATGACTCCTCAAACAGCTCTGACTCAGTCCCCTCCTCACGGCTCCAGTGCTCTAGTTCAGCCTCCCTCTTGAGTCAAATTGATTTTCCAAGACAGAATTATTGAATCTGTTTATGTGCCAATGCTACCTGTCTTATCTGTACCCATCACATCGTATTTTAGTTTATCTGATTATATGTTGGTTTCAACTCCTAGTTAGATGGCATGAAAGAATGCTCATTATTCATCACCATTGCCAAGCATATGGTCTACACTTCATAAAGTCTGTGCAAAATTTAAATCAATTTTTGAATATTCTATTACAAAATTTTAATTGGAGAACATGGCGTTAGTCCCAACTCTCTTGACCTCCTCCCCTCCAACTTTCTGTACAAATCAAAGGAACAGCAGAACTATCGCTATAAGTTCATATATGATTTTCTTACTCTGACCTGAAATCCTTCCACGACAAAGTCAGGCTTACCACTTACGGCCTTCATCACTCACTTCTGCCTATTTGCCAGACTGTCTGCTCTTCCATTCCCCAAGAAAACCCATACCTACTTCCTTTGTCCACATGGAGTACACTGGGTCACACCACTACATCATTTTGTGCTTATTTCTTGTATTAAAACATCTTTTTCTGATAGCAAACTTTATCTCCCCTAAAACCCCAGCACCCTCCAAGCTTTTCTTCTTGAATTATTTCTTTCCTCTAGTCTTGCTTGCCACTCGAACCTGAAAGCTACTGGGTACTCATCTTCCAGATGAGAGCACAAAGGGAAGAAAATCCTTTCATGTCTTCTGTAATAGTTTAATCAAATACATAAACGACAACAATGACCAAGCAGGCCAAGGAGAGCGTCTTCTCACCGAGGGGCCTTCCCCGATGTGCACGTGTGTCTTCTGCTTGGCTTCACACAGCTGCCTCAGGTGTAAAATCACAAGTTCATTTTCTTCCTGGTCACTGACTGGCTTCATTTTCTGTTAAAGAGACAAACCAAGACCGCACTATGAAAACCAAGCTCTTCTCCTCTTCTTTCTATCTCTCTTGACTTTGTCTGGTGGACAAACAGATATAAAACCAAAAGCTTTCACTGCACTTAGAAGGAAGATAAGAATGGCATTCTAGTTCTACCAAATAGTGCTACAGGACATAGGTCTTTAACTTCAGATAGAGGACTGAGAAAATAGAACTCACGAAAACAGAATCCAATTCTCATGCCTTATACCTTATTTATGGGAACTGCAAATAATGTTACCTGGACTCGTTCAAAGATGTCAGCTTGCTCGTTATCTGTCAGTGATGAGAGATGTCTCTGTATGACCAACTTGGCCCTTGGAGGGTAAAGACCTAAGGAACATGATGAAGGAAAGTATTAAACAGAGTCTAGCAGCTGAGATCTACGTGTATATGATACCTTGCACATCACCCTGCCCCAGCAGGCTCTGAGCTTAAATCTTCTCAAGGAGACATGTTCTTGCCAGCAACAACCTTGGAACATGACAGTGAAGTGATTAAAACTAAATGAAAACTCTTTCCAGCCCCCCCACAGTGATCCTGGAATTAGAATTACTAACAAAGAATGTCTAAATGGTACCAAACACAGCCAGACACCACTTAATATACTAATAAACAGCCCTAAAAACTCACAGTCCTAGGGTGAATTAACATTACCCTAGGATCTATAGAAATAAAAGTAATACCAGTCTTGGACAAAAAAATCTGTACACTTACAACTTGACTTTTACAAAAGAAAGAATAAATAAAAATAAAAAGGTTAATTTGCATTTACAATGATTCAACTGATCAACTATTTCATGTTTCTTTTGAAAGAAAGAACATAGTCTTCATTCATGACTGAAAGAGAAAGAGGTCACAGATCTCTCTGGCACCATGATCCATCCCTATCTTCAGCCAGCCCTGGATCACAGGTATGTGTGTGCCAGGCATACTTAATGAGTCTCCAGATGCGAACCCAGAACCTTTCCAGGTGGGACAGTCTTGCAAAGCATTGCTTTTTACTGCTGCACCACTGTCTAGCCCCTCGAGCATCCATTTTTAAAAGAAAAGATTTCCATTACAGAGTTAGGTGCCACTCACAGTATAGCTTCTATACTTTGATGATGAAGAGGATATGTAGGCATAGATAATATTGAATCTAATACTTAATAAACCCATAGGTTGACTGACATTTTTAAATCATTTGTTACTTTAAGGCTACCTTTCTTGGGCCACATTTGAATACTTTTAAATAATTATTCTTTATTATTATTATCTCTGTCTTGCTCTGGCAAGCATACATACCCTCTGGTAATAAAAAAAAAATAATAACTGAGGTGAAAGATAACTGAAGGGAACCGACTTGATCACAGTTGTGTTGCTTTTGTAAAATTAAAGCCCTATGAAGATTTCTGCAGATAGTAGGGGAGAGGATCACTCTAAAACACACATTGGTTTCAAAGAATTCACATTGTAACTGTCAGAAGGCCTACAGGGCTGACATACTTCTACCCTGGTGATACGAGACCGGTTTTACTACCATGCAAAACAGAGTGGGACTTCGCGTTGCCGAAAACCTCAGCTCCACCTCTCTTTGTGCAACAATAAAGCAAAATCTGTGATGCTTCTGAGAACTCATCAAGAAAACTAAAACTCTGGATCCAGCACATTGCATTAACAGTTACATCCCTGGATTCCCACATGGCCAACCACAGTTCGAGTCCTCAACCCAGTGGCTTCAAAATTATGCTGGGTGTATGTGTGTGCCCAAGATCCCAGGAAGAGACTGGAAGAGAAGAGATGGCAGCATGGCCAATCCCTCTGGGGGGAGGGGGCGGAATTTCTCACTGTCTCCCTCTTTCTCTCTCTGGCCAGCACATGGACCCTAAGGCAAAAACCTCTGTTGAAAGAAAGAAGGACAGAGAGAGAGAGAAAGAAAGAGAGAAAAAAACTTAAAACTCATTTTGATGGTACAATACCACTCACGATCATAGCCTATTATTTGCTGAAATTTCTCATTAAGAGACTCTTAGATAATGTTAGGATATTGATTCACATAATTATTATTTGCTTTTTATTTAATGTTTACTGCACAGCGACTGATCAACATGACTTGAACGTTAAAAGACTAAGAAGAAGAATGGAAAGAAAGAATAGTTATTGGAAATGTGTCACTAAATCCACAGCCCAGGAAGTTTCTGTAGTAGAGGAATTAGAAATAGCTGGAGTTTCTTTCTTTGGCAATACAGACACTCCCTCCACTGTGAATCAGTCTTGACTTCCTTCTTCGTCCCCATTTGGAATCACTGACAAGTGACTGCTGGTATTGAGAATCGTGGATATTAGCTGGCATGCATGTTGTGTAGGAAGACAAATCTGGATCGTTGCTCTCTCTCCATGACACTCAACATCTCTTTCAGTGTCTCATTCTGAGGTCTTGTCCTTGGGAAATAAAGTCTCTGTTAATTGAGTTTCTGTAAATCTAACAGCAATCAAGCTGTTTTGCTTTTCATTTTTTTTTTTAAGAAATACATGGTATTATATATGTAGTTTAGCAGATACAACATATATATGTGTTATTCAGCAAGATACTTTTTTACTCAACAATACAATTTTAAGATGTATCATGTTGATACAGTTCAAATTTATTCCCATTAATTACTTTATATATGATTATACTTTAATTATTTTTTTTTTGGAGAGGTTTTTGCCATAGGGTGTGTGTGCTCGCCAGACAGACATAGAGAGACAGAGAGACAGAAAGCGAGAAATCACGCCTCAGGGGGGATGGCCACGCCGCAATCCCTTCTCCTCCATTCTCTCTTGGGATCCTGGGCATGCACGCACCCATGCCCAGCATGAGTTTTAAGCCACTGGGTCCGGGATGCGAACCGTGGTCGACTACATGGGAGTCCAGCGACATAGCCATTATGCTAACTGCTGGTCCCTATACTTTAATTATTGATGGACGTTAAGGTTGTTTCTAATTTTCCATTATTTAAAAATAATACAACCTTGAAAATGTACTTTCTGTACCTCTGTAACAACCACTCCTCTCAGAATGACATTTCTGGCTAATAGGTATGTACAAGACAAATACATCAGTATTATATAAATGTACCAGCATCCCTGCAACTTCTCTAACGACTGACCTGATGATATCTTATTGTTCTCACTTTCATTTCTCTGAGATCCAGAGAGGTTGGTTTCTGCTCATTTTCTTTCCTGGGCCTTTTCATTTCCTTTTCTGAGAACTTTTTTTTTTTTTTAGAATTTTGCCACAGGGTGCCTGTGCTCTCCTAAGAGAGACAGACAGAGACAGAGAAAGTAAGAAATCACCCTACAGTAGTGATGGTACTGCAATCCCTTATCCTCCATTCTCCTCTCAGGATTTTGGGGACATGCACCAGGGATGATTTTCAAGGCACCAGGGCTGGGACTTGAACCAAGGAGTCAGCAGCTGTGGGATCCAACGCCTTAACCGCTCCACTTGTTGGCTTGCGAACTGTGTCCTAACATAATTTGTGCAATTTTCTGCTACGTGGTTTTACCTTTTCATTACAAAGTGTATACAAATTCTGGATACAAATCTGCTATCTCCTTATCATTGTTGCTTATAAGCAGTCATTGTTATGTAAATGCTATAAATTTTCAGAACCTCAAATCTGTCACCATCTTCCTTTAATAGTGTTTGCATTTTTGTGTCTTAGACTCCTTCATCAAAGAATAAGGGTATTCTTGTTTTCTTTTAATAATTGTAGGGACCAGCAGTTGGTATAATGGCTTGTCACTGGACCCCCATGTAGTTGACCGCAGTTCGAGTCCCAGACCCAGTGGCTTAAACTCACACCGAGTGCATGTGCATGCGTGCCCAAGATCCCAAGAGGAGAATGGAGTCTCGAAGGGATTGTGGCATGGCCATCCCCCTGGGGGTGGGGGGGGGGGGACTTCTCGCTTTCTGTCTCTTGAGTAGAATAAGTAAAAGCAATCTTTCCCCTTTTGGAGAGCTAACTGATCCAATGCCATCTCTTAAATATTTGACTTCCCCTCATAGGTTTGTAATGCTCCCTTTACCATACATCAAAGAGCATTCCATTTTTGTAAATGTGTTACATGTTTGAAAATAATGTGCATTCTGTAAGATAATTATAAACTTAAACTACTAAACATTACATTTAAATAGTCCTTGATCACAGAGTTCCACGAACAGCCGATAATAATGCTGTTCATAGATTTTGCCCATGATTCTCTGCTACCTACAGAACAAAATACTATGAGATGAATTCAAATCTTCATGGAAAGATAAAATTGAAGTATAAAGTTTATTTTGGTGCAAACGATTTTATTAAAGAGACATTTCTGGTACACATAGCATGTGCTCTCCAGAAAGAGAGAAAGTGAGAAATCATGCCCCAGAGGGGATTGCCACATCACGATCCCATTTCTTCCATTTTCCTCTTGGAATTTGGGGCACACATGAACACACACCCAGTGTGAGTTTTGAGCCTCTGGGTCCAGGACTTGAATCGTAGTCAACCATGTGGGAGTCTAGTGCTTAACCACTACGCCACCTGCTGGTCTCATGAGCAAACAATTTTGAAACCTATACACAATTTTTTCATGGTATGTATTTTCCAGATGCTTTTGAAGACCCTTCACATTTATCTTCACAATGATTAGACCCTTCTCCACTTTGCTCTGGAGTCTGCCCTTTTCTCATCTATTATATAACTCTTGTCCTACTGCGCTGCATTTAGTGACTAACATGCCTGTGCTCGCTGAGGTACAGTCCATCCAAGTCTCAATCACTCTGCCCCAGCACCCAGTACAATCCACAGCAGATACTTAACCAGTGTTTATAAAATTACAGTTCTTCTCTTCTGCAGTAGTTAGTGACTGTTTTTGTTAGTAAAAGATAACAAGAAGAAAGGAAAGTTGAGTCACAGGGTTACCTCTCCCTCATGTCCCTCCCTCAACAGGACACATCCAAAAATGAAAACGAAAACCCCTGCTTTATGATATTGACTCTACTATCTCAGTCATTTTCAAGGGTCCTTCTAAAATTGAATAAGTTCCTTATAGCTCTAAATTTTTAGAGAAAAGGAACACATGATGGGGGAAGGGATGGAGAAAGAACTAAGTCAACAGTTGAAATTCTGTGATGGTTCTGCCTCCTCGTTGATTCAACAAATATTTGGCCAGTTCCCACTATGTACATAACAGAGTCTTAAGAGCCGTGGGAAATATTAATACAAGTCCCTTCCCTGAGCTTGCTTCAGAAGGAAAAAAAAAAAACAAAAAACAAAAAGACAGAGATAAAAAGAGTCAAGCACCTCAAAGAGACTGACAGCACGGTCAAATCTGACTGGATGTGAGAAATGATTCGTTGGGTTCTCATTTCACACAGACACAAAGAACTATTCAGCGACAGCAGGGACTTTCTCATTTGCCAGATGCCAAAGCAAACTCCTCTCTTGCCAAGGCCGCCTTCTCCCGTACCTTCGATCCTTTCGCAGAGCTTGTGCAGAGAGTGCATGGGGCAGGCCTCGCACAGCTGAATCTGGGTCTTGGCGCTCTGCAGGGCAGCGGCCGTACTGAAAGCCTGCTTCAGAGTCAGCATTACCTCATCGACCTACAAGAAGAAACACAACGCAGGTCTATAAAAGGTGGTTCTCATGGCAACACGTGCAACACCCCACAGCAACGGGAGCCTTTGTTGATGCTGACTAAACCACTAAATCATAAATAACAGATCTGTGATGACTACGGAGCTGGCAGAGAGAAAATATTAAGTCTTGAAGTTAGACCTCGCATACATATACTAGAAAGCTGAATGAAATAAAACCATTTCCAAGCATGTAATACAATCTCAATGCTATTTTCAACTCCCATTGAGAACTATGCTCTCATGGATGGTTTAATTAGTTGATCGGGTTTTTGTTCAATTAAATGGTATACCAGATAGAGATTCCTATGAAAGTTTTGTTTGCCATATACAGGAAGCAATAAAATAGGTTTCACACGTACTTGGGCTAATAGGTACCCTATTTAACTTTATTCTATTAGATCACTTTGAGTATAAAAACAAACAAAATGAAGTGCTGGAGAAAATGAGTTTGATTTAAATAATGCTGGGGAGAATCTATGAACATTGATGGTCTTGTTCTACAGCTTTAATTTATTGTCATTCTGCTGCAGATTTGTGTCACCGAGAAGCCCTAACCATCTTCTTATAGCTGGGGTTCACACTCAGCAGCTTGCAAACTGCCTGTGAGTTTCTTTTTTGCTCTTTTAGAGACCTTCCACCCCCCAAGAAGTTTGAATTTTACATCTAGTTTTCTAGCAGCTTCTTTGAAATCAACAGCCCATCTTCATGCATCACTACACAGACTTCAGTTTGCAGCTCCTGATTTCATTGGCACAACTGCCACAAACACTTTCCCACACTCTATAGAACGTAGATCAAATTCTAGGATCTACTAGCAAAGCTACTAAGAGCCTCACCTGAACTAACCCTAACCATTTCCATCATGGCAAACACATGTTTTACTCTTTCTCTTTCCCCTCTGGCATGGTTTAAGTCATTTAAAAGATTGAATGTTATTCTGCATTTGTGCATATAAGGAATCTGGAATAAAAAGAAACTACTCTTCCAATATTACTGAAAGAAGACATCAAACCCTATATGCAGTCGGCCATTACTGTTTAGGTTATGTTGTCAGCCTTCAAAAGCCTTATGGGCGGGGAACCAGCAGTTAGCGTAATGGCTATGTCACTGGACTCCCACGTAGTCGACCGCGGTTCGTGTCCCGGACCCGGTGGCTTAAAACTCACACCGGGCGCGTGTGCGTGTGTGCCCAAGATCCCGAGAGGAGAATGGAGGAGAAGGGATTGCAGCGTGACCATCCCCCCTGGGGGGTGATTTCTCGCTTTCTGTCTCTATGTCTCTGTCTGTCTGGCGAGCGCACGCGCCCTACAGTGAAAATCTCTTAAAAAAAAAAAAAGCCTTATGGGCAATTGCATGTCATTCATGAATAAAAATGAGTTATTCACAAAAGATGTTCACTTACAGTATAATTTAAAAAATAAAAGTTCAGCCTTGGTGGCACAGATGTAGCACCACCACATGAGAAGCTGGAAGTTGCAAGGGAGACATAGTTTTGATTCTGGGCCACCCCAAATAGTGTGAACAAGATCATGTCCACCTATAATCTTAGCTAATGGAAAGGCTGGAGCAGTGAAATCCTGTCAGAAATACCTAGCTCTGTCTCTATCCCCTCCCTTTTTTTTTCTCTCTCTTTCCCACCTTCTTTCTTCCTTAAAGGAAAAACAAGATTTCTAATTATTAGAAATTGAAGCCCTGCATGTTTAATGCTTTTGCATTTTGATTTCACTTGCCTTGTTATGTATTCAAAAGTAATTTTAATTATTTATGTAGATGTTCATTTGTTTCTATTTGCTTGCTTCTCATTTAAGACACTGAAGGATTAGAAACTTACTGAGTAATATGATAGCTTTCATAAAGGTTGTCATTTAATAATAATACCATGAAAAGTCTCCAGTGGAAATACTGAACCTTGGTGTTTCTGTTCTTTTCCTAGATGAAACAAGAGATCACTTCAGTGGTGTCCAAAATGTGGCTGCCAACTGCTCCCAGCCACAAATATTACTAAAATTCCACTCAACTTCTAAAATTTTAAATGTTGTGTTTTTTAAAATCCATTTACTTTTCCAGGTGATCTATATAAACTCTAATGTGGGATCAGTGTAACCATAATTTTTTTAGTAGAAACAACAACAAAAACATCATAGGTTGTATCAAAAGGTTAAAAGTAAAGAAAGAGGAAAGAATAAATAAATCATATGCAAAAAAGAGAAAGTATTCTTGGCATTATCATAATGCAAAATTAAATTAAAAGTATACAGTGGCATAAATAATATCATGATTTGAAGGGGAAAATCTACAATGAAGATAATGCTCATTTACATACCAAACTCAGGTATTTTAGAGTATTTTAGTTAAGTCTAAGAATCACCCAATGTGTAAAACCATCAGAAGTCCACCTAGTCTAATTCTCTGGAGAAATCTAAATTTTCTAACCATTCAATAAGAAATGGCATCCATCCATTCTTTATAAGAATTGTTTACAACAAGGCAATGGAGCGATGGTCTACTTCAGTAGCTAGACTGAAGATTATACATGCATTTACATGTTCTATAGTGCGTGAAGATTCTCCATAACTACTCACACCTCCCTAAAGCCATGGCCTGTACTTTTGCTCCTAGGCTAAAAGATGCCAATACTTTAATTTACTTCAGGTAAGGAAATCTAATTTTCATAGATTATTGCTCTTCTCTGAAACACCTTCAACTTTTCGTTATTTAGAATGCAGATTCCAAACCTGAGCCTGTCTTGTTGCTTGTTCGCCAAACAATGCTTAATCCTTAACTGTTATTTGTTTCTTCAAATGAAATCAACACGAGGTGTAAAAGATAATTTCCTAGACTGTGGGCCTTATTTCTCTACCATTATAATAACATTTTATTTCTAAGGAAATACCAAACTTCCTCTATCAACTATACACCTTCTTTTATACCCGTACAAATTCTGGGTCATAGGTAGGTTGGGTTTTTCCCCCTGTTCAGTTATACTTTCCCTGAATATTTTTGTCTTCATCCATGGAGTTTACTTTTTCCTTGTGAAATAATAGCAGTAACTTACACTTTCTTCACTCATTAAACCAATTTTGGAGAAAGCACTTTAAAAAAATGATATTTTCTACAAATTTCAACGGTTTGCTAAACAAGATTAAGCTGTCTGCATAGAGGTTTTTAAGATTTTTGGTATAGGGCGCATGTGCTATCTGGAGACACAGAGAGAGAGAAAGTGAAAAATCATCCCCTGGGGAGATTGACACGCTGCAATCCCTCCTCCTCCCCTCTCCTCTTGGGTTCCTGGGCACACACACACACACACACACACACACACACACACACACACATGCCTGGCATGAGTCCAGCTGCTGGGTCCAGGACTCAAACCATGGTCGATCCAGCGCCCCCAACCACCACGCCACTTTCTATGATGTGACCTGGGCAGCAAAGGAAAAGGGCAGAGAGAACCAGGCAGAAGAAACTAATGAAGCCAGAGGAAATGTGAGTTTCTAAGATAGGGGTCAAGGCCTGTGGGGTTGAAGAGGAGGAGAGATGGGAGCCCCTCGTTTGTCGATCTGGTTCACCATCAGCACTGTTTCCATGGCAAACACTGCTGCACCGAGACCCTGTACATGTCTGCTCATCCACTGAAGGCAGTATCACATCTCCAGGGAAGATACTGACTAGAATTAAGCAGGATTTTAAATCTAAAATTTTTAATTATTCAAGTGGGGGCGGGGATGGGGAAAAATCAAGGGGGATGGCCACAGTCACTTCTCCATTCTCCTTGGGACCTTGGGCACATATGCACAGGGGCTCAGTGTGTTTCTCCAGCTGCTGGGTCCAGGACTCAAACCATGGTCCACCATGTGGGAGTCTAGCACCTTAACCACCACACCACCTGCTGGGCCCTATAGGTATCTTTTAAAAAGGAAGGAAGAAGGCCAGCCTGTAACACAGGAGTTAAGCACTGTCCATAAGGAGCCAGATCTCACATGGCTAACCTTGGATCCTAGTCACAGGAGTTTGCAAACACTCTGGCTGCATGGTCATGTGTGCCCAAAATCTTGATGTGAAGGATAAATGGAGAAAAACTGATTACAGCATGACCACACCACATTGAAGGGTGCCTTCTCTCTGTCTCTTTCTCTCTGACAAATACATAGTAAGTTCACACATGCCCTCTGGCAATTAAAAAATAATGGGAAGGAAGGAAGAAAGGAAGGGGGAGAGAGGGAAGGAAGAAAGGAAGGAAAGAAGAAAGGAAGGAAGAAAGGAAGGAAGGAAGGAATATTTGATGAATATTTGATGAATATGGCTCCTCTATGAGTCAACAAAATATCGGGTCATCAGAAAAGTCATGACGCATTTTTACATAGAAAAAGACATCATGACTTTTCCAACAACCCAATACTATACTGTTTACAAATTCATAACTGTTACAAAGAAGCAAAAGAAAAGGCCAATTGTGTATTCTCGGTACTCAAAGAAGATCAGTCAGCATGCCTGGTTTTGCTGTACTTGTCTTACTCACCTGCCAAGCCTCATCAATCATAACACTGCTTAAACCAATTTAATTGACTATTTTATTTTGTTCTGCATGTCAGCTGTTTGAACCATCCTCTATTGTGCAGGAAATTTACATTTAAATTTTCTTCCAGCTTGCAGTTCTGGTGCCTCACTATTCAGTTAAGATGCTCACTGATAAAATGAGAGAAAACAGGCTTTGAAAGGGCCTCGCATGAGCCTGTTGTTAGGAATAATGAGACCAAAACTCCAATTTGAGTAACAGGAGGCATTCACAGCCAGCCCAGTCTGTTGCCTAGTCACAGAGCATGGAGTCATTCCACACGGGAGGTGCAAACCTGCTGCACACTCTCAGACGTTCTGCTGTGATTCCCTGTCTCCAACACTCATTAGACGTGCATGAGGGCAAATTAAAAATACCAAAAACTAAATAAAGACAAAGCCTATAAAAAAGATTGGAAATGAGAAGGCTTCCTATTAGAGCAAGTTATCTATGAGCAGAGATCAGTCAATTTGTAGAAAAAGACTCCTGAAAATTAGGAGTAATACATCGATCCAATCACTCTGAGGCAAAATTAGCAAGCACCTGCCACCTTAGAAAGCCCAGGACACAATACAAGTAAGACAACGTCCTGACTTCATGAAAGTCACAATCTTGTGAAGTAGATGGCCAAGTAATCAGAAAAATGAGTGTGAGGATTGGCAGGAATCAATAGAGATAGATAAGCAATTAATGAAGTTTGTTCCTGGAAAAATAGGAATCAGAAAAGTTTTCAGTTTGATGTGATATTTAAGCTGGATCCTGAAAAGTACATCATAGAAAAGGAGGGAAAGGGTATTCAGGTGACAATAGAGTGAAACCAGGCCTGCTTGGCAAAGCAGTGAGGAAGAGAATGTGAGAGTAAATGACAAGAGCATTGTATAATCGCCTTGTTTAGTGACAGGATGAACCCTTCAGGCCAACAGAGCACCCTTTCCCCACCCTGACCATAGAAAAGGCAGTGAGCCCAGGTTCCGGCATCCTCTGATGCAGTACACTTCTCACTCCATGCAGTGCACAGGGACTTCTGAGCCGCAGCCACTTGCTTTAATCCTAACCTCCTGAGTGTCCCGTGTACTAATCAACAGCTGGTTTCAGCAGCAAATCAACATAAAAGCAACATCACAGCAATCACCAAATCGAGGCTTTGTGGTCAGGTCCAGAGAACAGTTCATTAAATGGAATGACATGTGTGAAACGAGTCATGGAAGAACGCAAATATTCTAAGAATAGCACATGAGGCTGGAGGAAAACAAAGACATTTTAGGCTAGGCTACACACTAGAGCACTAGTTCCCCAACTTTTTTGGGACCAGGGACTAGAAAGAAGACAATCTTTCCACAGACAGAGGTGGGGAGGCTGGATGATTACAGCAGGCAACTTAGATCCCTTGCATAAACAGCTCACGATAGGTTTTGTGCTTCTGTGAGAATCTAGGTTTTGTGCTTCTGTGAGAATCTAATGCCACTGCTGATCTGACAGGAGGCAGAGCTCAGGCAGTAATGTGAGCTATGGGGAGTGGCTGTAAATACTGAGGAAGCTTTGCTCGCTCACCTGCAGCTCACCCTCTGCTGTGTGGCCCATTCCTAACAGGATGTGGGGCGGGGGTGGAGACCTCTGCACTAGACAATCTAGATTCTGGCCCTTAATACTGAGGTATATACTAGGTTCTGGTGAGGAAATTTTGAAAGAAATCAAACTCTAGCAGAACACAGACACTGCATAGACGGCAGATGAAAGCAATGGCAGGGAGACTAGTGAGGTCATTAATATAAGAGTCCAAGTAAAGAAGATGAATGCCCAGAGTCAGGTAGCAAATAGGAAAGGACTGTAGAGTGGATAAAAGAAACACTTCTATCTCAAGTCAATAGGGTTTGAGGAGCAGCTAAATACAGAATGTAAAAGAAAATGCATTAGGGTTTCTAAACTGAGAAGTTGGGTAAATGATGCTGCAAAAGTAAAAAATATGGGATATATGACAGGTTTTAGGAAAGTAAAAGAGTAATGTGTCTGGCACATGCTAGAAGAATCAGGGTTAGAAGGCAGAGATACAGAGAGAGGTCTGACATGTGACATCAGTGGGTGGGTAGGAGTGGGATACAGTGGCAGAGTACCCTTGACTATCATTTTCTACCAAATTTGTAACTGACTGGCATTTTCCAAGGCCGTGTTATTGATTTCCTTTGACTTTATTTCTCTTCTTTTCCTTCTGGGTGCTCATTAACCTCCATGCCTTCTACTATGCATTCATACAACGACAGTTCGCAAATCGCTATCTCCATTCTCACACTGGACCTATTTATCAGTGGTCACCTGATAAATGATGTGGGTCAACATGTGGGTACTTCGTAGGTATGGCTCATTACCTAGAGGGCAAATGAAACTCAAATGGAACTCTCCAGAATAAGGAACTATTAGTGATGGGAGTTTTTTACTACTTAAAAAAAAAAAAAAAATGGCAACCCAAAGGGCACTAGTCAACAAATGCCTCACACCAGGCATGAACAAGCCATGCTGTTCATTCCTGACTCGGTGTCCACACTGGGAATGTAAAGGCAAGGGTGAAGCAGAAATGACTGGAATGTGCGCCAAGGACACTGGGACAATGCTGCCTGGTCTGTCTATGTCTAAATTGTGTGTTTCCCTGGTGAAAAGGCTGGTGGAAGATTATATGCCTGACCAAATATGTTTCTCTAAATTCTTCAAAGAATAGTGATGTATATATCTGTGGATTTATGGTAAAAGGATTGGGAAGACATCACAGGTAGAATAAGGAAAGAATAAATAAAAACCTTGAGGAGAAAAAAAAAATCAGCTTTTTAGTCATTCAGCTGCAATTGCAAGTCTGCCTCATACACTTCCTTTCACTCCAGCTGTCCCGACACTAGAAGGCTGGGGGAGGGTAGTGTTAGAGAGAAGGATTGGGTTTTAAATTCCAATGGAAAAAAAATATAAAAACCTCCAAAATAATGGAATAAGTAACAGCTTTCCTCCTATCACTATTCTTTTCCTATCTTTTAAAAATAATCATGGACGGGAACCAGCAGTTAGCATAATGGCTATGTCGCTGGACTCCCACGTAGTCGACCGCGGTTCGCTACTGAACCCGGTGGCTTAAATTCACGTCGGGCGCGTGTGTGTGCGTGCCCAAGATCCCAAGAGGAGAATGGAGGAGAAGGGATTACGGCGTGACCATCCCCCCTGGGGGGTGATTTCTCGCTTTCTGTCTCTCTGTCTCTGTCTGGCAAGTGCACGCGCCCTATGGCAAAAAACCTCTCCAAAAAATAAATAAATAAATAAATAAATAAATAAAATAATCATGGAAACATGACTGAATTTGGTAAACCCAAAAAAGTATTTGGACTGAAAACATGACCATGAACATTTATTTTTCTAGTGTTATACTGCTTTGAAAGGTAAATACGTAGTTCTATATGCCCTGTTCTTTTCCCATGGATGGCCATTTTGTAAGGCCGGGATTTATAATAGATGATTCTATTGGGCCAAGGGGTGCCAGAGTGTTGATACTGCTAGACCTTCACAGGAAAGGACCTGTGTTCATGCCCCAGGACCTTCCTGTGCATACCGAGCATGTGCAAGCCTGTGAGCAGTACTAGTTAGATGGGGGATGAGTGGGAGGATCATGGTGTGAAGATCCTGTTGGTGGTGCCTCTCTCTTTCTGTCTCTCTTGGAAGAAATAAATAAATAAACTTTAAAAAAAGAGAGAGGTAAGCAGCCTGAGGTGATCTATGAAAATGGTTTGCTATTCACTTGATCCAGAGAACTCACAAAGTCATGCAAATCAAGAGTTTCAAATCTTCATGTTCACTTTAAGAATATCTGTGAAACTGCCCAGGCCATCAAGGGTATGCCTATCCGAAAACCCACCAAGTATCTGAAGGATGTCGCTTTACAGAAGCAGTGTGTGCCATTCTATTGCTGCAATGGTGGAGCTGGTAGATGTGCCCAGGCCAAATAGTGGGGCTGGACACAAGGTCAGTGGCCCAAAAAGAGTGCTGAGTTTTTGCTGCACAAGCTTAAAGATGCAGAGAGTAATGCTGAACTTAAGGGTTTAGAAGCAGACTCTCTGGTCACTGAACATAATCAGGGCAACAAGGCACCCAAGATGTGCCATCCTGCTTACAGAGTTCATGGGCAGATGAACCCACACATGAGCTCCCCCTACCACATCACGATGATCCTCACTGAAAAGGAGCAAATTTGTCCTAAACCAGAAGAGGAAGTTGCACAGAAGGAAAAGATATCCCAGAAGAAACTGAAGAAACAAAAACATAATGGCATGGGAGTGAAGTTATCAGAAAGTCAATGTAGATAAAAGCTAAAGTAAAAGAGAGCAAGTGCGCGAAGATAAATCTGTGTTGGCAGGAGTACATGGACAGCAATGATACCACTTACCAGAGATTCGCTGGCACACTGGAACACATAGCAAGTGTACTGGCTCAGCCCAGGCTCCGGAGACTCCCGACAGATAAAGCCGAAGTGATCGACATGCTTTATACCCTGCATGTGGGGAAAGAAGCACAGTATAGGATTTATGGGAATACGTCCTTTTACTCAACACCGCAAACTGACATTACTTCTATGCTTTCACAGTTCCACCTACTTCTTCGAAATCATGTGACAGGGGACATAATATCATAACAAACTTACAGGACAGCCTGTTGATACATAAAACAAGGGGTAAGACCAACTCAGGTTATTTTGTTTCTGATAAACATTCTGTGACTCAGGGCTACAGGGAAAACATTGATGGCATAATCCTCTGTCCTGTAATAAACTCCTACTCCATATTTGTAAGTAATGGAGTTTTATTGTCTCCTCAGAACTACAGTCTAATGATTCATCATTAAAACACTATTCTTGTGTACACGAGGCTAAGAATCGGAGAAAAACTACAACTGACAATAACCCATTAAATGGCATGCAGTTACCTAAAGTATCCATTAAAATAGTGCAATATTTGTCTATTTATAGACACTAAAGCAGCCACACTAATACAAGTAAAATCTGATGCATTAAAGAAATTTTTGCAGGTGTCAATTATCCACATTCACAAATCATTATGCTTCCTGGACCTAGGTTAAAAACCAAAACTATACTTGGAATCAGGGCCGGCAGGTGGCATGTTGAGTAAGGGCTCTAGACTCCCACATGGCCAACTATGGTTTGAGTCCCGGACCTGGCAGCTTGCTTTCTCACTTTCTCTGTCTCTCTTTCTCTACCTCTGTCCCTCTTTGGTTAAATTAAAATAGATAAATAAATAAAGTTAAAGAAAATGATTATTTTAAAAAAACTGGAATCATTCATGACTACTATTCAGTCTTATACATATAACACTTTATTATTTTAAAAGCAAGCACAGAATTTTTAAAAACCAAGTAAGCAAAAAATTAAAAGTCCTGAAATCACTTAAATCCAAGCTCTGGAGTCAGACACATTTGTGCTTAAATCTTGGTTCAACTAATCTGCTAGGTATAAAACACTGTGTTAGGCTGCTTAAGAATGACGTGAGGCTCCATTTCTTATTATAAAATAATATTAATGGCACCTACTGTCAAAAACATTTGAAATTTAGAACTAAGAAATAGCTATTCTAGTTCCTAGAAGATGTGTAAATAAAAACCACTATTGTTGTTATAATAAGCTCGATTTATCCAAGGGATCCAGATAAAGGAATCAACTCTAGAGAAAAGAACATGTCAGTGAGTAGAAGTGAAGTTGCAATCCATGCGGTGAAAGTAAGCTCAATTTGGCGCAATTCATAAGTGATTAGAGAGTATCTTTTACTAGCTTAGTACTAAATGGGAAAAATTCATAGGCCCTTGTTAGCTTAGGGAGTCTTCAGACAGTGGCAATGTTTCCAGTTAGAAAGCCACTTCCTCATTCCTCAGGCTTGCCAGGAAAACAGTCCTACCAATTTTAAAGAAAGAATTGTTTGTAGGTGTGCAAAATTTTAAAAGCAGGCCTGCTCCTGCAAACAACCACCATATTGTGTCAGCTCATTTCTGTGGGAAGAAGCAGTAAGAGCAAAATCACTGATGAGGAGTGGATGGTTAACCTAACAATTACTCTGATGAAAGGCGCTTCCACGCACTTGTTTACTTTTCTGAACCAGAATATCAGACTACAAAGATCACCTTAAAGAAATAATAATAAAACAGAAGAATGAAAATCACATCTGAACTTCCAGTTGTATATACTTGGTTTGGCTGATTCTTTTTTGGATGATTGATGGACATTGCTAATTTTCTTCCTGGGAAGCATAAGGAGTGTACAGATGGGAGATGCAGCTTCTAAGGATACCTCTCAGTGTTCCAGGGCAGGATCCACAATTGGTTCAAATGTGACCTGCTCTCCAGTACTTGACACGGGCCCAACCTGCAGAAAGGCTCACTCACTCAGCATCTACTGAACAGCTAATAGGGAAGCTTTACCTTAGTACATTTCAGGCTGATGCCTTCCAGAACGAACACCATAGCAGAAGGCAACTGCCCTCATAGAACTCAAGATCTTGCTGGGACCCTTGGTGAATATATAGTTGCAAGAATACTCAATAAACACATTTTCAGTAAATAATCTTTCTATAATTTCTGTATCCTTCAAGTAAGAATTTAGAAATCTATGGTACGTTACTTCTATATTCAATGCTGCCGTTCTCTAAGTTATCAGACTAGAACATTTTTATTCATGACATAACTTTATGTCTCCATATAATTAAAAAATAAACCTAAAACTAAATATTAGAAGACTGGGGCAAGTAATTAACAAGATGTATAAAAACTCTCTTGCCATTTTCAAGGGGAAAAATGCCTGAATATCATACCTCACAGCAATGCCAACTTGAAAATTAAAAAAGAAAATGAGAAAGACAGAAGGAAATAAAAGGAAAGATAATAGGCAGTCATGATTTTTCAATATTAAAATATAGATAAACAGGCCAGCCTATAGCATGGTGATTTAATACAGCTGGATTCCACATGGCCAATGGCGTGGTTTGAGTCCCAGACCTGGTGGTTTGAAAAACATGCCAGGCACATGTATTTGCATGCCCAAAATCCTGAAAGGAGGGAGTGGTGAAGAGAAGGGCTTGCAGGGTGACCAAGCCCCATGCTACACGGGGGGTGCTTTCCACCATTCTCTCTCTGGCAAATGCATGAGTCCTCTGGCAAATTGCGTACACACACATAAACACACCTTGGCAAGATCCAGCTCCTTGAAGATATACTAAGTCACTAGGATAGAAAAAAATGCTCATTTTCAATTCCAGGAACCTCCTTAGAGGTCTCTGCATTTTTAACCTTCCCACATTTAAAGTTACTTTCTTTTTGATGTTTTCAATTTTTTTTCTATGTTTACGATATATGTAGGCAGCTCTAGCTTTTGGATAGGTAGTCTAAATCATGACTATGATCCTTAAGACACTAATCTAGTCTATGCCAATTTATCATGTTGTACACACTGGCTCTATCGGTTATTTTAAAAATGCTTCAATCCATAGTTTGTAAATTAAAAAATAAGTTGAAAACAAAAACACTATAACATTCTTTTCCATATTTGGCATTTACATAAATATAAATTGAAAACACTAGTTCTCCTTTTACTGCACAGTAGGGTATAAAGAGAAAGCATGACTCAGTTACACCCACAGTCTCGCTGCCCAAGATTCTGAGAATACCAACTGTGAAGATATTTCCAAAAGAACTCACCACCACAAAAATTCCATCAGAAGGGCTCTGATGCAGTGACATTAGAAAGAGAAAGAGTTGACTAAAATGAGACTGGACTGTTATGACACATGACGAGGAATCTGGTCAGGGTTGTGTTGCTAGCACAGACACAACACACAAGCACTCAGTTTAAGGTGAATTTTCTTAAAATAATAGGTAAATAATTTTTTTTAATATTACAATTCAAAGGTAATTAATTAAGTCCAGTTATTTTGTGGTCGCTTTTGAAATTGGATTTTTTTCCTAAATACTAGGAGAGATCCTTAGATACATACCTGAGAACAAGAGGAGATATCTTTAAAATTCTTTTCTAGCACAACTGATTTAGTGTCCGGACTGATCAGGTTAATCTCAAATCGCCCCACCTTAAAAATAAAAGCATTCTGGTTAATTTCAACTTACAAGGACCTAACATCTTATGTACCATAATTAAATATTCAACTCATAATATTGATATATATGATGTACCCCAGCTATGCCTGTTTTGCACACATTCCAACATTCAATCCAACCAGTAATACATTAACCCCAAATATCAGCTACCTCAAAACATTTCTTCCCTTTGTCAAAGAAATCATGAAAATTATATTGGCCTTATATTGTAAAATACCCGCCCCCCAAACATATTTTTTCCCTAGACTAAAAACTAGAGCATTTTCCAAAACATGCAATTTCAGAGCCAGCTCTGAGGCATGGCGGCAATTCACTGGTCAAGAAAAGCTAGCTCCCACATGGAGAGAGAAAGGTTTGAATCCTTGGCCTTCCTGCCCAGCACACAGGAGTGCCCAGAAGCCAAGAGACTAGAGGACTGGAGGAGGGGGATGCTGAAGGACAACAGGCCCTGTGGTGTCTCCCTCTTTGTCTCTCGAGGGTGTGTACACATGTGCCTTATCATGAATACAGAAAAAAAAATTTTAACTATGCAACCTTTCCTCATTCCATGATTTCTAAAAATTACCAATTATTTATTTTTGAGGAAACTTCAAAGAGAGCATGGGAAAAAATGTAATTAAAAGTCCAAGTGTATTGTAGTGCTCAAAAACATTGAAATCTACACTAGTTTTTCATAATGTGTATTTTCTAAAATTTGTAGTCTCTCTTATAAATTATAACCACACTTTCTCCCTAATAGTCAACAAAATGATATAAATATAACTGGGCCAATAAACTAAATTTTTTTTAAATAACCATTCAGAAAAAATTAACAGCAAAGATTGTGACTAGTTAAGAAAAAGAACAAATCTGATAGTCCAAAGAAGAGACTCAGTTAACATAGCACAAAAGAAAACACTAGACACCTATTTTAAAATTTTATTTTATTGGGGGACCAGTAGTTGACATAATGGCTATGTTGCTGGACTCCCATGTAGTTGACTACGGTTCGAGTCCTGGACCTGGTGGCTTAGACTCATGCCAGGTGAATGTGCGTGCGTGCCCAAGATCCCAAGAGGAAAATGGAGGAGAAGGGATTGTGGCGTGGCTATCCCCCCTAGGGAGTGATTTCTCGCTTTCTGTCTCTTTGTCTCTGTCTTTCTGGCAAGTGCATGCACCCTATAGCAAAAACCTCTCAAATTTTTAAATTTATTTATTTATTCATTCATTCATTCATTCATTCATTTGTTTTACCATAGGGCACTGTGTTAGCTGGAAAGAGACAGAGAGAGGGAAAGTGAGAAATCTCCACCTCGGGGGATGGCCATGCAGTAATCCCCTCTTGTCCATTCTCCTGTCCAATTTTGAGCATGTGCACACATGCACCTGCCCTGACTTTCAAGCCACCAGGTCCAGGACTCAAACTTCAGTCTACCATGTGGGAGCACAGCTCCCTAACCACCATGCCATCCCCTGGCCCATAACTGTATGTTTTTAATACACTGTATGAATTCAATAATTACTTTTAGAATTAAGAATTATCTTTGTGTATGGGACCAGCAGCTGGCATAATGGCTATGTCACTGGACTACTATGTAGTCCACTGAGGTTCATTTTCTGGACCTGGTGGCTTAAACTCATGCTGGGCACGTGTGCGTGTGTGCCCAAGATCCCGAAAGAAGACCTGAGAAGAGATGGCAGCATGGCCATCCCCCGCCCCGGGGGGGGGGGGGGTTTCTCGCTTTCTGTCTCTGTCTCTCCAGCGAGCACTGGTGTCCTATAGCAAAAACCTCTCCAAAATATATATATAAGTAAATAATTGTCTTCGTGTTACAGAATGTGCTCTCACCTGAAAATACACCTATGAGTCTGGAGTTTTCCTCTGTTTCTCCTTAGAAAAATCCCCCCTTCTCCATGCTAATCACACTCTCCCAGTTCAAACCTTTAAATCCTCCGACCAGCTGACTTTCGACTGGTAAAAGATGCTAAAATTAATCTTTTCTTATTCTCCCCACAGGTTCCGTGATGACCCACGGATGGCTTCCTTCTCCTCCTCTTCCTTCCCTGCTCCTGTTTCCTGCAATCCACACTCTGCCTCTGGTCCCTCCTCTACCTGCCTGTGCTTTCTCCACCTGCCTTACCTGCTTCTGAGGGAGAACAAATACAAGCTGAATTATTCGCTATACGGACGTGGCCAGTGGGACTAGAGTGCAGGGCTAGGAGGAGCTGGATGCCCTGCAGCTCTGTCCGGCCATTTAGGAGGAAACACGCAACAGCAGCCGGCCTGGGCGGTACCTGGAACAGCATGGTTCTGTTCTTCTCGGAATCCGAGGGCTGGACGTGACTAGGCGCGCTCGCGTGTCTCCTTCGCGGCTGTGGTTTCTGGCTGCTTTCGTGAACTTTCCTCTGCAGGGATCCGGTGGTGACACTGCTGCACCGAGACCGGAACTCCTGCTGTTCGTCAAAGTCAGAATCTTCCAGAATCCGCTCTGGGATGCCAACTCGAGAGCTGGCCAGAGCAGGCTGGCTGACTACTGCAGGCAAGGCAGGCTGGGGTTCGGTGACACACTCCACCTCCTCCAGCAGGCGGTCCCCCAGAGCCGCAGGCGCCTCAGCCTCCAGGACTAGGAGGTCATCGCTGGGCTCCGAGCCCCGCTGCTCGCCTTGCATCCGCAGGCGCTGCTGCTCGTGGAGGCTGAACTTCTCAATGCAGTCGTCGATGAGGCTGGAAGGGGCCTTCTTGTGGGTCACTGTCACCTTCCCGCAATACAAGACCTCAAACTTCTGAGAGTTGTAAAAGGCATCCTCATTATCTTTGCTGGGTTTGGCATCCTCTTTCATGGCAGCTTTAGATAATTGCCTTATGCTGCTGATGACATCAGGAACCTGGAAGAAAATAAATCCCCATTTTAGTGGAATCATTTAAGACGATTTATGTTTACCTAGAGCTCATATTATCTCATGGAACGTACTTTCATTCCAAGTGCTAGAATACAGAAAGCAAATGACTCTACACAAGATAAAGCATAAATTTACAATACCTAACGTAACCAACTTAAAGGTAAAATCGAAATGTAATGAAAATGAATTAAAATCAAATAGCAATGTTATACTTTCCTACTTTAAACCTATTGGTTTCCCCAAAAAAACACCGTGAAACTATGTAAGCCACTACCAATTTTTAATAAATCATAATGTATCTTTTGATTACTTTTAAAAGTTATTAGGGGCCTCAGCTGAAAGGAACCAAAATTTCAACAATGAGGATAAAATAAACTTTCTGGATAAAGAGAGGAAAACCCAGACACCCACCCCTCAGCAGCATTAGCCATCATGAAATACAAAAAACACAGTCAGATGCCACTGCATACCTGACATCAAAAAAAGGCCAATTGTGGGACCAGCAGTTAGCATAATGGCTATGTTGCTGAACTCCCATGTAGTTGACCGCGGTTTGCATCCAGGACCCGGTGGCTTAAAACTCACGCCGGGTGCGTGTGCGTACGTGCCCAAGATCCCAAGAGGAGAATGGAGGAGAAGGGATTGCGGCATGGCCATCCCCCCTGGGCGGTGATTTCTTGCTTTCTGTCTCTCTGTCTCTCTCTGTCTGTCTGGTGAGCACATGCGCCCTATAGCAAAAACCTCTCCAAAAAAAAAAAAAAAGCCAATTGCTGGCAAAGATGTAGAGCAACTGGAACTCTCACACATTGTATGCAGAAACTTAAAACAATACAACTGCTTTCAAAAACTATTTGGCAGTTGCTTAGGTTTATGGGCATAAATCTAATTCACAATTCAACCATTCAACTCCTAGCAGTACATCTTTGAGATGGGAAAATATGCCCACACGAAGGTTTGACATGGATATTCAAGCAACTTTAGTCATAACACACAAAACTGGAAACAACCCAAGTGTTCAACCAATGAACAAATCATCAAAATGCTTTTAATAGATGTGCATACAATAGAATACTATTAATCATCTCTCACCTAGTTACTGCAATCACTTTTTAGCTGGTCTCATTGTCTCCCTTCAATCTACTCTCAAAAGCCAAAATGGGGCCATGCAATGGCAGACTCTACAATGTGAGTCCCAGACCCAGTGACTTGAAAATCACACCAGGCACTTGTTAACTTGTTGTGTGCATGCCCAAAAGCCATGGAAGAGAAGGGATGGTGGTATGGCCACCCCTCCCCCCCTCCCTGGGGGATGATTTCTCACTTTGTCTGTCTCTCTGATGAGCCCTACGGCAAAAAATCCCCCCAAAAAAACAGCCAAAATGATCCTTTCAAAAAATTAAATCATTACTTTAGGATTCAAATACATCACTTTGGCATTTATTTTGAGTTAAAGGCATCTGAAAAACACCAGATGCAAGAAGGGCACTTAAACCTTCTGTTTTTCTTCCTGAAAGGAGGAGATAAAACTTCCAAGTGAAAAGTGTCCTCCCTGTACCAGGAAGAGGTAATACATTCTTATCACCAGAGAGGGGGAGTGCAGGCCAAGAGAAACTTAACAAACAAGCCTTATTAAATTAAGCCTATCTTCCTGGTCACTGTTCCACAATTAACTGCCCTAGCCCAAATCCCATTGTCTTGTCATATTTTCACAATATACTACTTTTGTCCAACCTAGTACATAAGCATTTGGCCCTAATTGCTTCTTTGGGTCTTCCTTTATCTTGCAAAGACCCCTCGTGTGCATGTAAAATTACTAAATAAAATATATTTTTTCCTATTAATCTGTCTCATGTCAGTCCTAGCTATAGACCCTAAAAGGGTAGAAGAGAAATTCTATCTCCTCACATTACTCATCTGCAAACCCTACAACAGCTCTCCAGTTCATTAAGGGTAAGAGATAAGAACCTTACATTGTCATGCAGGGCCCTCACCATTAGCCTTTGACACACATCCAGATTACATCTGCACCGAGGTTATACATCCTCCCTATGATTTTAGATAGTCAACCTGGATTTCCATCTTTTCATCCTTGCCTCCTTTCCTCTGACCTGATCTATGTTCTCTTCTGACCCAATTGCTCTAGCTGCACTGGCCACTATGCTATTTCTTCAGCATGCCAGGCACAGACCTCCCTGGAGGACTCTGAACTGCCCCACATATCTACATGGTTCACTCCCTCATATTATCTATATCTGTGCTCTATTGTCACCTTGTGAGGCTGCACTTCAAGGTGTCTCCCACCCCAATGCACACATATATGCACAAACACATGTACACACAGCCAGCATTCTCCTGGATTCCCCCAGGTCATACAATTTATTATGTAAACTCAGAGGTCATCAGAAAAGTCATAATGTGTTCTTCTATGCAAAATGCATCATGACTTTTCCAACAACACAAGAGAATATAAGTTCTAAGAGGGTGGTCATCTCTTATTTTTTCCATTTTTTTTTCCTTGTTGTAAATATCCCCACAGCCCAGAATAATTCCTGTTACATAGTAGGTTCTCAACATATACACTAGCTCCCCTAAAACCTTCTTTGGTAATTTTTAATCTTCAGAAAAGGGGGAAGATCATCTTATTTTGTTCAGTGATACTTCATATTTAGATATTTATGGTATGTCTTTAAATCTCCTAAGACTGACTCTAAATCTAGAACTTTTTCTTGTAATTATTTGGGATACATTGCTGAAGCGTTTGTAGTTTAAAAATGACAAGAATTTCATCTTGCCAATTCAAGCATTTCCTATGAAAGGATAAAGTCCATGTGCTCAGTTTCCATGACTCACCCCGCACACCTAACACATCTCAGGAAGTCCGGTGTTTGTGCTAGCACCTAACTAACCACCTTGGCCCTCTGTCATTTTCTTCTTAACATAGTATGTCAGTAACCCTACTTGACAAAGGCCAAAACTAAAGAGAGTGAGCTAGCAGCATTTAACCCAGGGGTCTCCAACCTCCAGGCCGCAGATTGGTACTAGTCATTATTACTACAATGCAACAGAATAAAAATAAAGTGCAAGATAAATGCAATGCATTTGAACCATCCTAAAACCATCCCCCCTGCTCCAGTCCGAGGAAAAATTGTCTTCCACTAAACCAGGGCCTGGTGCCAAAAAGGTTGAGGATCACTGATTTAACCCTACAAAAGGTAAATGAGTCTATTGGGGTAAATAGCATCATAAGAAAATGATCTCATCTTCTTTGCTATCTGGAATCCATGAAATGCTTTTCAACTGATTTTAAACCCAAACTTCTATATTTCCAAAAGTATCGCTATAAAGTACAAAAGTAGAAACATCGTTTGTAGGATTGTTTGTAAACTGTAGTTTTTTGGGGTTTTTTTGTTAGTTTGTTTTGTATCTTGTTACAAATATTTAAATATTTGGGTACAGCCTTAAGAGGTACTGTACAACGGGGACTGCAAGTAAAATCAATTCAAACATGGTTGTATTAAGTCCTCTGTCTTATTGTCCTTTTTCCTCTATCATACTGACAGCTCTTCAGTGAAAAAGTGATTAGTGGCTGAAGCTCTTTTTTAAAAAATAATTATTTTTATTTAACTTTATTTATTTATTTATTTATGTATTTTTAATTTGATCAGAGAGGGACAGAGTGAAAGAAAGAGAAGAAAGCAAGCCACCAGGTCCAGGACTCGAACCACGGTCGACCATGTGGGAGCCCAGTACCCTTAACCACCACGCCACCTGCCAGCCCCAGTGGCTGAAGTTCTAGAGTCTCCCAGGGCTCTTCCCTGTGACCACAGGAAAAGGCTAAAAATTTCAATGTAATCTAGCAATGACTCAATTTATATATAAAAGCAAAACTTACCATCTTAAATTCTAAACTGAAAAAGTAATTTAATCTAATAATCTCTGTAGCTTTACACCCTAAAACAGATTCATTTACCTTTAATATGTTCTCCCACTTTATGACAACCCGCAGTATTTAATGACCTGAGCTGAAGAGCTATACTTGTGAAATGGATATCGGCACTGTTTTTGCCTATCCTTACTTAAAAGACACAGTATAAAATTTAGCAATACACAACCCCTGACGATACACTCAACTCACACCAGAAGGGACATAGTGACAATGCACAACAGTAAATTACCCATAGTGGAGAAATGACTTATCAGAGAACACAAAACCTTTCACTGAGATAGTTACTTAAGGGATTTGTCAGAAACAGCATACCTGAAATAAAATCTCTCTTCAAAACTTGTATAAATGTATAATATTTTAAAATAATAGCATTCTCTTATAGCACAGTATAAACTGACATGTGTTTATATGCACATCTGCAGAATGATTAAATGAATCTGAATCTTTCTAATATATGTGGTATCTTTCAACATCTTTTTTTTCCTATATCATTATATTTTAACTTTTTAAGGGAAAGACTGAGTTGGGGTGATATGGTTTCTTCCTGGAGTTCTTTTTGACCATTAGGAAAATGGTCTGTGCTCAGAAGAACTCGAATGCTGTCAGCAAACAGGGACATAAGTGCTAGAGACCAACAGGTGAGAACTTCGAAAAACGCAGTTCTCTAGGACTGATGTAGGTTTAATAAATTCCTATTGATAGTCAAGAGATCTGGCACTCCCCCAAAATAGAGAGCTAAGGCTTCTCACTCTGTTCATTGTTCATCCAAACTAAAAAATGGTTATGAGTTTCCAGAATGTCAAAAAATACTATGTAGAACTTCAAGCTACATGCTCTAGTTCATACTATAGGTACAAATAACTCCATTACTCAGAATTGGCCTATAACCCAGAAATTCTGATAGAATTTACAGCCAATTTAAGGCATGGTTTCTACTCTGTGGTAGCATTTCATCTTTAACACAAAAACAACACTGAAAAAGACTCCACACCTAACTAGGGACTGAAGGGTTTATATTCTATCTCAGCTCTGCCAGTAT